GACCCAGCGCATTTCAAGCAGGCAACAGAGGTCTGATCAGCCTCTAGCCCCTCCCTGTCACCGATAGATTCCTAGACGTATCCCTTCCCGCGCGCAAAAGAACTGGACCCGCAGAGCCTAGCAAACTCCGTGTGAGTTTATTCAGAGCTCTTCCGGACGAGTACTTTCTTTGGCTGACACGACGGGTTCACAGCCTTCAGCCGGATTGGGCTAGAGTTCACGAGTCTAGAACTCTTGTCCGCCTCTCTTCTTTCCTGTCTGTAACCACAACTTAAGCAAGTTTTCCAGCCTGCACCACCGCCATCTCGGTGTAAGTAAACAATCTTTTAAACTACCGATACGCGTCTGTGCCTAATTCCAGCTCGAAGGCCTTCCCTCTCCGCCCTGGCGTGCCCAGGCTGCTGGCCACAGCCCGCGTGCAGCGCGAAAAGGGCTCGGGTCGCTCCCGGCCCGCACAAAGAGGAGGCTAGTAAAACACTGGAACAGGCTTCCCAGAGAGGTGGTGGACTCTCCATCCTTGGAGAATTTAAAGAACTGGGTAGATAAAGCCTTGGTTGGGATGGTGTAGTTGGGGCTGGTCCTGCTTCGAGTTGGACTAGATGTGACCTCCTGAGCTACCTTCCAGCCCTCATTTTCTATGATACTATCAAACCGCCAGGCTGGTGCCAGCTCAGGACAAAGCGGGACTCATAACTGTGACCCAAGCTTGAGCCTCCTTGTGATGGGTGGATGGGGAGGGGAGGAGGAGAGAGGAGACACGTACGTTGGACAGATGTAGTTCAACAGGCCTCCCCGGTGCAGCAGGCGATACTGGTTCTTTGTCTTATTCCTTTCCCATAGTCCATGCTAAAAACGAGCATAGCGACTGTGACGGCAGCGTGCCACTGTCACGGGCGCAGGAAGGGCACGGTTTGTAATATTAAATGAAAATGACAGAAGGAGTAAACTTACCCGTGAGAAGTGACGCTGCAGTGTCAAAGCAGTAGGTCTCTGACCCGGCACAATACACAATCTCAGTGTCACAGTCAGAAGATCCAATGCTAAAGCACGCTGGACACTGCAAGCCATTGGGAGTGGTGTTCAGTGGTGGCACTGGGAACAAGCAGATCACAGTCGGTATTAAATGAAAATGACAGAAGGAGTAAACTTACCCGTGAGAAGTGACGCTGCAGTGTCAAAGCAGTAGGTCTCTGACCCGGCACAATACACAATCTCAGTGTCACAGTCAGAAGATCCAATGCTAAAGCACGCTGGACACTGCAAGCCATTGGGAGTGGTGTTCAGTGGTGGCACTGGGAACAAGCAGATCACAGTCGGGTTTGAAAAGGTTGAAGAGAAATGTGTGCATTCGAGATCTCCTCCCGTGTCAGCCGCTCAACCTTACGGGCAGGGGCACAGCTGTAGCTCCGGACGTGCATGAGCAGCACGGTCCAGTGTCCCCTGGGCTCGTGTGTGAAGCCCTGAAATCTTTCTCTGCTTAGTGGGAGTCGTCTCCACGCCTCTGGATGTTGCCTCCCAGCCCGAGGCCCGTAGAGTATTACCCCGTGGAAGGTCCTCTGAAAGGAGGGCAATGCTTCTCAGGAGCTCAGGACCACCTCCAGCAGGGCAAGTGAGACCTGCCACTGACAGCTCCCCCCACACGTCACCTGTCCCGCTTGATGGGCGATAGGGCTGTCCCTGCCAGGCTCTGAGCTAACTGTGCTCTTGCTGCCAAGAAGGCTACCGGCATCCTTGGCTGCATCGGTAGGAGCATTGCCAGCAGATGGAGGGCAGTCATCCTTCCCCTCTATTCAGCACTGGGGAGGCCACATGTGGAGACCTGTGTCCAGCTGTGGGTCCCCCAGTATAGAAAGGATGTGGTCACATTGGAGAAAGTCCAGTGGAGGGCAATGAAAATGGCTTGGGGGATGGGGGACATGACTGGTGAGGAGAGGCTGAGGTAACTGGACTGTTTTAGTCTGCAGAAGAGAAGACCAAGGGGGATTGAATAGCAGCATTCACTGCTGCAAAGAGGATGGAGCTGGACTGAGCTCAGTGGGGGCAGATGACAGAATGGACTCAAGTTTCAGCAAGAAACGTTGAAGTTAAATATTAAGTTAAATATTAGGAAAAACTCTCTCAGGATGAGGGTAGTAAAACACAGGGACAGGCTCCCTAGAATGGTGGTGGAGCTTTTGAAGCCACGGGTAGACAAAGCCTTGTCTGGGATGATGTAGTTCAGGCTGGGCCTGCTTCAAGCAGAGGGTTAGACTAGATGTGACCTCCTCAGGTCCCTTGCGGTCCTAATTTTCTATGATACTGGTGCCAGCTGAGGACAAATCAGGACTCATAACTGTGACCCCAGCATGAGCATCTTATGATGGGTGGATGGGGAGGGGAGGAGGAGAGCGGAGACGCATACATTGGACAGATATAGTTTGACAGGCCTCTCCAGTGCAGCAGGCGATAATGTTTCTCTGTCTTATTCCTCTCCCGTAGTCCATGCTATAATGAGCATAGCGACACACATCAGATATGAAACAGGACTTTATGTAAGTCAGCATCTTCACTCCGCCTGGAACAAAAAGGAACACAGCACGGAGTTAAGAAACCACAATTATTACCAAGGGACTTTCCTCCCTGCACCTGCATCATTGCTACCCTGACACGTTACAACCTGGCCCAAGCATTATATAACAATCATGACACGTTCGGGACATTTTGGACTCCTTCTGAAGGAAATATTTAAGAATACTCAAGCCCCCTCTCAGGCTTCATTTGTCTGCTGTAAACTTGCAGAGCTCAGTTAATCTGCTCTCATAAGCTTCTCCATGTCTTTAGCCAGGTCAGTAATTTTCTCTCTCCGTCCATCCATCTTTCTGTACCCGGCTCCTCCCTGGAGCGGCATGTAGCTGCAGACGATGCTGCCTTGGTTAGGCTGAGTCTTGGCCATTCAACGTGTTCCCGTCCAGGAGCCCAGCGCAGGGACCCTGGAACACAAAGGTGCTGCCGGATGCAGAGATGCACGCTCCTGCCCAGCTGACAGCCGAGGTGTCCAGCAAGTGCCTTAATAGGTGAATTGGGCAGTGAACTGGATATTTGGGCCTCCTGTGTGCTCTTCCCCTGCAGGTGTGAGAAGGGGGCAGGAAACACTGGCGGGGTTAGTAACTGCACCTCGAGCTCTTCAACACAGGGCACCCAAAGACTTCACAAGAGGCTTGGTCCTGGACCTTTGATTTCTAGGGAAATGGAAGTTGTAGGGGTGGGAAGTAAAGATATTTTAAAGTACCTCTCACCTACCTACTATTGCTTCACCTTTGATAATAGCACAGGTATCATGGTCAGGATCGCAGGTCTCCATGGGGCCAGAACAGTTGTGCCCATCCCCACGGCATACTTCACACTGGAGAGAGCTGCCTGAATGGAAAGAGAACTGTCGTCCCTTGAGTGAGTGTTACCCCCCTGTAACAGGTGCCCGCTCTGGGCAGATCTAAACGTGGCCCGCACCTGTTCCTGGGCCAACCACCCACCTTCTCGCCTGCCACGCCGTGTTGTTAATTGATGAATTGATGTTAATTAGCGAAAGGCTTCCCTTTTTCTGCCCTGATACCAGACGGCGCTATCTGCAGCTCCATTTCCTCCCCTACACCGCAGCCCATGCCTCTCCGCTGGTACCACCGTTGTTGTCTGGGCCTTGTTGTAATCTGGCCCCCTCGACCTCACTGGGCCCTCCGCAGCCCTGCCTCACACTCTGTGCCTTCACTGCACTCAGGCTTTCTGCCGCCCTGTCTGGCACTGTGCCCTCCCTGGGGCTTCTCCATGCGGCCCCTCTCTCTCTGGGGCTGGGGTCGATGCACCCTGAATGCTGTGCCCTCGGTGGCGCTGGGGTCCCCACACTACCGTGAGTCCCCTTCTGAGGCCTCCTCCATCCCCATATAGCCTCTCCCAAGTAACAAACAGCAAAACAAAACACAAACCCCTGGACTATAACATAAAAGCTAAGCCATCTGGTTCCAACCTCATCTCGCCACACCAGAGTTGCTTCAGCTACCCCAACTCTGAGGCCACACCTGCAGTCTGGCCTCTTATCTTTTGCTCATTCCAGCAGGGCTCCTTTCCCCTTGGTTTCCAGCAGGGAACTGCCTCCTGGCCTCCAGCCTGTGATTTATATAGAAGCCAGGACCTGCCCTTCTGGTCAGCTGACCAGGCAGGTGTGAGTCACTAGCTCCCTCCAGTTACCCTAGCAACTAGCACCTGCGTAGTTACTCTGGCTCTACAAGTAGCAGGCAACTTAGCGCCCTGCTACACCCCATTTCTCCTTCCAGCCTCCTCTGCTTCATCGGCTGCTGCCTCCCTGCTTCCCTTCTGCATCTCCGGACATCTCTGAGCGCTATTGCAGCCAGCCTACGTGAGCGACAAAGCAGGTGCCACCTTCTCTTTTCTTCTTCCCCGTTTGCCCCTACATTTGCCCCAGTTGCTTCCTAAATTTCTCACATTGTATTTGCTATTTGCTCATTCCTGTCATTGATCTGAACTCACAAAGAGCCCAGCCCTGTGGTCTTGTCTTCCCTGGAGCATTTTTTTGTGGGGGCATGGCTCTAAATACAGGGAAATGGATTTGGGGCTGGGTCCAAAAATGTAGATGAGGCTCAAATGGTCACAAAGAGGAGCCAAAAACAGCTGATTCCCTCCCTGTCCACCTGCCTAGTACTCATGTGGGATCAGGCAGTGTCCAAGGGATGTGACTGGATGAGCCCACGAGGGAAGTGTCCTGCAGCTGAGAGGCTTGGCCACGACGCACTCCCTGGATCCAAAGCCCTGCTGTAAATGATGAGGCTTGCAGCCATCGGGACCCGACCTGCAGTATGTGGCACATCCCAGACCATCCTGAGTGAAGGAGGCTAAGAAGGGGCTGGAGGGGCAGGAGCTGGATGGGGGCTGGAGTCAGGGCGGCGATCGGGCATGGAGGATGGGAGCAGCAGGTGGGATGAAGGAAGCTGGGTGAGGGGCTGCTTCCAGGGATTAATGGATTCATAGAATATAGAGTTAGAAGGGTCCCAATGGATCATGATGTCCAAACCCCTCCCCTGGCAGGAAAGAGGACTGAGATCAGATGACCACAGCCAGGTAATTTTCAAGCCTCCTCTTGAAGAACTCCATGTTAGATGATAGGACCACCTCTCTCGGAAGCCCATTCCAGACTCTGGCCACCCTTACTGTAAAAAATGTCTTCCTAATGTCTAACCTAAATCTACTCTCCACTAGTTTGCACCCATTATTCCTAGTTATTCCTACGGGTGCTCTGGTAAATAGCGCATCCCCAACTCCCTGCTGTCCTCCCCTGATAAACTTATAGGTGGCTACAAGGTCATGCCTCAGTCATCTCTTGTGAAGTCTGAAGAGATCCAGATTCCTCAACCTCCCCTCGTAGGGTCTTTCACAGAGGCCATTAATCATGCGAGTGGCCCTCTGAACCCTCTCCAGATCCTCCATGTCCCTCTTGAAGTGTGGCACCCAAAACTGGACACAGTACTCCAACTGCGGCCTGACCAATGTCACATAGAGGGGGAGCATCACCTCCCACACTCTGTTGGTCATGCATCTGCTAATACACAACAATGTGTGATTGGCTTTGCTGATGGCCTCATTACATTGCCGGATCATGTTCATCTTGGTGTCATCTGTGACTTCAAGACCCCTCTCAGCCGCTGAGCTGCTGAGGAGGTCATCCCCCAACCTGTAGGTGTGCTGGGGATTGCTCCTCCCGAGGTGGAGTACCTTACATTTGTCTTTGTTGAATTGCATCCTATTTTGTTCCGCCCATTGATCCCAACCTGTCCAGGTCGGCCTGTATCTGCTCCCTGCCCTCCAGTGTGTTGGCTTTGCCCCATAACTTGGTGTCATCTGCAAACTTGGACAGGGTGCTCTCCACACCCTCGTCCAAATCGCTGATGAAGATATTAAATAACACCGGTCCAAGGAACGAACCCTGTGGGACCCCACTGCTCACCTCCCTCCAGGCCAAAAATGACCAGTCCACCACCACTCTCTGGTGTGGTCCCTGAGCCAGTTTGCCACCCACCTGACTGTGTAGGCATCCACTCCACAGCCCATTAGCTTCCCTATGAAAATAGGATACAAAGCTGTGTTGAAGGACTTCCTAAAATCCAGGTAGATGACATCAGACTCAGCTCCTGTGTCAAGGCAGTGTGTGGCCTGGTCATCAAAGGCTATAAGGTTTGTCAGGCAGGATCTACCTGTGACGAACCCATGCTGGTTTCCTTTCAGCATCCTTTCCCCTGCTGGGCCTTCTCAAATGCGCTCTTTGATGTTTTTTTTCCAGTACTTTCCCAGGGATAGAGGTAAGGCTTCCTGGGATGGGACAATCTTCATTTCTCTCCTAGAGGTAAGCACCTGTTGTCCCGCAGGTTGGCTGATCTCCTCCAAAGAGCTTTAAACTAGGTTTGACGGGGGACGGGGAACCGGTGGTAGATGAGAACCCAGGGCTGGAAAGCCACAATCAAGGCACCGGACCTAACCAGGTAAGCACTAAGGGGAACACACGCCATCAAGGCAAAGGGACAGCAACAGCACCCTCTGAGGGGGGCTAAAATGTCTTTACACAAATGCCAAGAGTATGGGGAACAAGCAGGAGAAGCTCACACTCCTACTTGCTAGGACACAGTATGACCTACTTGGCTTAACTGAAATGTTGTGGGATTCTACGCATGACTGGGCGGTGGGCATTGAGGGGTACAGGTTGCATAGGCGTGACAGAGTGGGGAGAAAAGGCAGGGGTGTAGGTCTCTATGTTAGGGAACAGTACACATCGTCCATCATCAAGGCAGGAGTGGAGGAGGGGAATACTGAGGCATTGTGGGTCAGGATCCAGGGGGGGCCAAGGGAAAAGGACTTGGTAGTGGGGGTCTACTACAGACCTCCTCACCAGGATGATGAGCTAGACGAGGTATTCTCCAGGCAGCTCTCAGATGCCATTCAGGTGAGGGAGGCAGTGGTCATGGAGGAACTAAATTACCTGGACATCGGCTGGGAGGAACGGGCGGCCAAAACAAGCCGCTCATGGAGGTCTTTACACTGTGTACAGGACCTCACCCTACCCAGGTGGTGTCCAGTCCCTCCAGGGGTAGTGCCCCGCTAGACCTGGTCTTAGCAATGGGGGATGAACTCGTGGGGGACCTGCAGGTACACAGTAACCTGGGAGATAGTGACCATCACTTGGTAGAGTTCACTATCCAGCAAAGGGTGAGAAAAATATCCAGTGAGGCTGAAATGTTAGACATCAGGAGCACCAACTTTAGTAAACTTAGAGGGCTAGTTAGTGAGGTGGCTGAACTCAAGAGCATCGAGCAAATTGGGGTCCAGGAGGGTTGGAGGTTTCTCAAGGGAGTGATCCTTGGGGCACAAAAGGAATCTATCCCCTTATGCAGAAAAGGGGGTAAGGGGATACAGAAGCCCCCTTGGCTGAACAGGGAGCTTCAGGAAAGACTGGGGGCAAAGAAAGAGATGTATAGGCAGTGGAAGCAGGGAGCAGCCACCAAGGAGGCATACAGCACCCTGGCGCGCCATTGCAGGGAGTCAGTTAGGCAGGTCGAGGCAGGACTGGAGCTTAGGCTGGCTACAACAATTAAGGACAATAAAAACTCCTTCTACAGATATATAGTGAGCAAAAGGAAAGTGCAGAGTAACACAGGGCCCCTGCAGGACAGATCAGGACAGTTGGTGGTCGACACAGGGAAAAAGGCAGAGCTCTTCAATGAGTTCTTCACTTCAATATTGCTACGTACTGAGCAAGACAATTCCCCCACCTTGAGCATGGACAGATGTCCAAAAGGTACCAGACCACCAAAGGTTAGTGCTGACTTGGTTATGGAGCTCTTGGAGGGGCTGGATGGGTACAAGTCAGCTGGCCTGGACAACCTCCATCTGCGGGCGCTGAAGGAATTGGCCAGTGTCATAGCTGAGCCGCTGGCACGGCTGTTTGAGCTCTTATGGCACTCTCGCCAGGTCCCTGAGGACTGGGAAAAGGCCAACGCGGTGCCTATTTTTAAGAAGGGGAGAAGAGATGAGCCGGGTAACTTTAGGCCAGTCAGTCTTACCTCTATCCCTGGGAAAAAATGGAAATAATCATCAAAGAGCACATTTGTGAAGGCCCAGCAGGCACAACGATGCTGAAAGGAAACCCATGCTGGTTTCCTTTCAGGGAAGGAGGCATGAAGAAGGGAGAACAGGAGAATGAGATGCTGTGGGCATTGCCTTGCATCAGCTGGTCCCTTGGTGCCAGGCCATGAGATCGCGCCCCCCACATTGCATCTCGGTGCCCGGGCACCACATCACTCCCATGCCTACTGCCCAGTCCCAGCCCTCAGGGCTCCCCTTGGCGCTGAGCTGAGCTGTGCCATCAGGCCTGCAGGGCTGCCAGAGCGGCTGGGATTTGGGGGGCGAGGGGAGCAGGAGCAGGACCCCCCGCTGAAATCCAGGTTACAGGGTCGCAGTTCGGCAGCAGGGGCAAGGGATGCATTAACCCCTGCAGCTCCATGCCACTGCTCACCACGCTACGCTGCTGCCTGCCCCCCCGCTGGAGGCGGGTTCAAAGCCACCCCACAAGGCACTGTCACTGGGGTGAACATCTAACCTCCGTGCTCTACAGCTGGCAGGTTGGACATGTATCCAGGGTCATCTCATGCAGACCCTGCATGGACACACATGTCACTGTTCCCAACCCTTTCCTCATAGACGCCCCTCCAGTCTCTCCTTCACAACCCCCAGTGAAGGACCCACCACCACCTTAATGCAGCAGCATGTCCCAGGGTCTTCCTATTCTTCCTTTCTTCATGGTAAGTGTGGGCAAAATTTGGAATGGGCGTCCAAGGGAGGTGGTGCTCTCCCCTACCTTGGGGGCTGTTAAGAGGAGGCTAGATAGGCATCTGGCTGCAGCCATCTGACCACAGAGCTCTTTCCTGCCTAGGCAGGGGTCGGACTCGATGATCTATTGAGGCCCCTTCCAACCCAAACATCTATGAATCTTTGTATTTCTGGAGATAGGAATTTGGGCATAAAACCATCTTAATTTCTTTGAGGAGATCCAGAAATTAAATTCCTTCCGGCTGCTGAGATCTCCCCACACCGCCGCGGGTTGGTGCCTGGGATCGTGCCTGTGCCCTGAACTGAGGAACAGCCGGGGTAGAAAGGCAAAGGGAGGCACGGCCCTGACTGCTGCAGGGAGTGGGAACAGGCGCCGCCACTGCTGGGCTCAGCGCGGCACAAAAGGGTCAGGGCCTCTCGCCAGCTGCTCTGGGTGCGAGGGCCCGGGATGGGAGGACTCCCTGCTTCTCCTCGCAGCAGCCCAGCGCTTCACTAGCTCCATCCTGGGCAGGGGACCAGAGTCACCCCTTGCAGATATAACCTTTCAGTGGGAAACTCCAGCTGCCTTCTCCTCCCACCCACCTTCCTGGTCGCATCCCTGTCTCGGCACCTGCACTCCCCTCCCGGCGAACTTTTGGAGCCGTCCCAGAGCTAGTCCTCTCCCCTGTCATGCAGCCTCGGTGCCAGGAGACTCACCTTGGTGTAGGAAAGCCAAGAGGACGTAGAGGATGACGGGTGCTTTCATGGTGTGGAGGAGAGAGCCGGAGGCACTGCACACAGGTCTCGACTTCTTGGTGGATGCAGAACAACTCTGCCCTGCACGGCTGCTCTCAGAGGACACCGCAAGTGCTGTTTTGAGAAGTGAGAAAAAAATGAGCTTGTGTCATGCCAACTGGCATTGAGCGGGCACTGTTCCCCTGGGATCCCTGGGGCTTTGTTTCATGAGTTTATTGACAGGATACAGCCGGTCGTGAGCTCTTCCTCTTGTGCAAGTCACTCCTCCTGCTCCTGGCCTGCTGTGGAGCCCTGAACCTGCCTCTGAAGGGCAGAGGAGACCCCTTCACTCAAAGGCAGAAACCCCAGGTCCCCTGGATCTCCTCTGGGGCCGGTCGGCCCATGTCCTGCATGAGAGCACCCAGGACCAGCAGCAGGAACGGGAAGGACCTGCTGACGTGCTGCTCTGGGCAGGCATCTCCCACCAGTCGTGGGCCAGATGCTCCTGTTTGGGACGTGAAGGGGGCCTGGACCATGATCCTTGCTTCATTTGGCCCCAACACCACTGGTGCAGGCACAGCCCTGGCAGCATCCCTGCATCATGGGGGGAGGCCATGTCATGAGACAGGGTAAAGCAAGTGGTGGAAGAAGCTCGTCTCTGCTTCAGAGGTCTGCTGGGTTGTGAGCTCTGCCTCCCATGGGCACATTCAACCCCCCGTGGTTTGCTTTCTGCCTGGCCTTTGCAAGATACCCACAGAGCCATTTTATTGCTACACGCAGCCACAGACCATGCTGGCTTCAGGCAGCCCTCCTCAGTGACCCGGCACAAAGATCCTTCCTTCCATGGATCTGCGCACCTTGGGACACAAACTAGGCGTGTCACGCTGGCACTTGAGCAAAGCTGCACAGGGCTGGGCAATGCCGCACCGCACCTGCTGCCATTGCACAGACTGGAGCTTGGAAAGGGGCCAGAGAAATCCCTGCAGCTGCTGTTGTCCAGCTCCACCAGCCTTAGTGAGCACCCACTGCCGAGGCCTCCGTGCCTCGTGTGAGCCACAGCGCTGTCCTCACCGCAGCACCCTGACACTGTGTTGACTTGACGCACGCCAGATCAATACTCGGGATCTCAATATTGCACTGTTAGACAGGAGGGCGTGATACAAAATTATACACAGACACTCACACACAAACTACACATACACCACTATGAGCTCCCCCAAGGGGATACTTGCCTGCCTGTACACAAATGCCAGGAGCCTGGGGAATAAACAGGGGGAACTTCTCCTCTTGCTGAACACAAATAATGATGATGTCATAGGGATAACGGAGACCTGGTGGGACTCCACCCGTGACTGGACCATGGGTATAGATGGCTATACCCTGTACAGGAGAGATCAAGTAGGAAAGCCAAGGCTGTGATGGAACTCCAGCTAGCTACAAGTAGCAAGGACAATAAAGAAGTCCTTTTTCAGATATGTGGGGAGCCAGAGGAAAATCAAGGGCAAGAGTGGACCCCTGCTAAACCAGATGGGACAACTGACAACTGACGCCCAGGAAAAAGCCAACCTATTAAATGGGTACTTTGCGTCAGTCTTTCATCAATCCCACAGGATATCCATGCCCATTATGGGACAGGGAGGCCCGGGTGAGGGAGATTCCCTGCCCTCCATCAATGCTGACCTCGCGAAGGAACACTTTGAGAGGCTGGACACCTTCAAGTCAGCTGGCCCTGACAATCTACACCCCAGGGTACTCAAGGAGCTGGCGAGCATCATAGCCCAGCCCCTGGCACAGATCTTCGACAACTCCTGGCGCTCTGGTGTAGTGCCCGAAGACTGGAAGAAGGCCAATGCGGTGTCTATCTTCAAGAAAGGGAGGAAAGTGGATCCGGCTAACTATAGGCCCATCAGCCTGACTTCTATCCCGGGGAAGATCTTAGGAAAGTTTATTAAAGAGGCCGTCCTTAATGGACTGGCCGACGCCAACATCCTGAGGGACAGCCAGCACGGGTTTGTTGCGGGTAGGTCTTGTTTGACCAATCTTATTTCCTTTTATGACCAGGTGACCTATCATCTGGACAAGGGAGTGGAGATTGATGTCATATATCTTGACTTCAAAAAAGCCATCAATCTGGTATCCCATGATCACCTCTTGGCAAAGCTAGCCAACTGCGGCCCCCAGGTCCACCACGATCTGCTGGCTGGGGAATTGGCTCCGTGGCAGGACCCTGAGGGTGGTGGTCAATGGAAGTCAATCGTCATGGTGCCCTGTGACCAGTGGAGTCCCTCAAGGCTCTGTCCTTGGAACCGTATTGTTCAACCTCTTTATTAATGATGTGGACATGGGAGTCAGAAGTGGACTGGCCAAGTTTGCCAATGATACCAAACTCTGGGGTAAAGCATCCACACCTGAAGACAGGAGGGCGATCCAGGCTGACCTGGACAAGCTCAGGAAATGGGCGGACGAGAACCTGATGGTGTTTAACACCGAAAAATGCAAGGTTCTCCACCTTGGGAGGAAAAACCTGCAGCTTCCTTATAGGCTCAGCAGTGCTACGCTGGCTAGCACTACGGATGAAAGGGACTTCGGGGTCATGAGGGACACAAGATGAACATGAGCCTTCGTTGTGATGCTGCAGCTAGTAAAGAGAGCAAAATTCTGGCTTGCATCCATAGATGCTTCCCAAGGAAATCCCAGGACGTCATTCTCCCCTTGTACTCGGCCTTGGTGAGGCCACCGCTGGAGGACTGCGTCCAGTTTTGGGCTCCACAATTCAAAAAGGATGTGGAGAAGCTTGAGAGAGTCCACAGGAGAGCCACACGCATGATCAGACGTCAGGAAAACAGACCCTATGATGAGAGGCTGAGAGCTTTGAGGCTCTTTAGCTTGGAAAAGCGCAGGCTCAGGGGTGATCTGGTGGCCACCTATAAGTTTTTCAGGGGTGCTCACCAGGATCTGGGGGAACGATTATTCATCAGAGTGCCCCAAGGGATGCCGAGGTCGAATGGTTATAAACTACTGCAAGACCATTTCAGGCAGGACATAAGGAAGAATTTCTTTACTGTCCGAGCCCCCAAGGTCTGGAATAGACAGCCGCTGGAGGTGGTTCAAGCACCTACATTAAATGCCTTCAAGAGAAATTTGGATGTTTTTCTTGCTGGGATCCTATGACCCCAGCTGACTTCCTGCCCCTTGAGCAGGGGGCTGGACTCGATGATCTCCCAAGGTCCCTTCCAGCCTGAATGTCTATGAAATCTTTGAAATCTATGTATTGACTGCAGGCAGTCTGGGAGCCAAAGGCTGGGACGGGGACAGAGATCGATAGTAGATGACGTGACACCGAGCGCTGCATGTGTGAGTGCACCTGGGATAGGCTAGGGACCAACCCATTAGCCCTGACAGAAGCGTTGCACTGGCTCCAGGGTGAGATCCCATCTGGAAGAAGGGAGCAGCTGGGAAATAATCTATTGCACAGAGAAAACCCCAGCAAGGGGCAATGCAGTTCTTCATGTAACACCCCGTGACAGCAGCACTGGGGCTGCAGCTCCAACCCTGAAGCTGGCCAGGCATTTTTTCCTGCCTATGTTGTGTCGGCCCCACGCCCACCCCAAAATAATCCTTCTGCTCCTGATTTCCTTCCCTTTTATCAAAGCAGCGCATTTGAGATCTCCTCCCCGCCCCCCCACGGCTGGTGGGGATGTGCGGGGGAGAGGAGCTCCCATCTGTTTGGGAAGGGAGGACCTGTCTGACGGGACGTCAGGGCCTCGTGCTTCAGGGCTGAGGCTCATCACCCACTGGGTGTGCACGCAGCCGCTCTCTTGTGCTGTGAGCCCGGTGCGTTCAATGCAGGAACGAGGGCTTGCTCCAGAGCCGGGCTGCCCAGGAGTCTCCAGCTCCTGGACACATGAGAGTGGGAGGAGGGACCTTGCAACGGACCAATAACAGGTCCCTCTGCTTCCATTGCTGAAGGGTGCTGAGAGCCAAGGAGAGGGACAAGAGATCGTGCCGCTGGTAACATGGCCATGCGGACATCAGGTCCCTCAACAGCCCATCCCTGGTGGCCACAGTGTGTTACATAGAGCTCAGTGGGCCAAACCCACCCTCTTCAGTCAGTGCTTGGAGACGGCAACTCCTGGTCTTCCCCGTGCCAGGACCCCCTCTCTCCCTGGCTTGGGCACTGCGCTTTCTGCTGTAACTTTGGTCTCTTAAGGCCTTTCTTTGCTGATGGGCACCTAGAGATATAGGATCATACTTATCGCTCGGGTTTGTAGGGGGGCTGTTAGGAAGGTAAGGCAGATACGGAACTAGGGCTTGCATCAAGAACAACAAAGTGTCCTTTTTTAAATACATAGGGACTATGAAGAAGGCACCGGGTAATGTGGGGCCCCTGCAGGATACATTCGGCAATCTGGTGGTTGCACCAGAGAAAAAGATAGACCTTTTTAACAAATTCTTTGCCTCCATTTTTCTGAGCAGGAACCAGGACATCTCCCTTGCTGGGATTCAGGATGGACCCAGGAGAGACTCTGCTAGGCCTAGGGTCAGGGAGGACCGAGTTAGGGAACTTCTGGAGGAGCTGGACATGTTCAAATCAGCAGGTCCAGATGCTCTCCTCCCCAGAGTGCTGAGAGAATTAGCAGAGGTCATTGTGGGACCCCTGGCACGGCTTTACGAGCACTCGTGGTGCTCTGGCGAGGTGCCGGAGGACTGGAAAAGGGCCAATGTGGTCCCCATTTTCAAAAAAGGGAGGAAGGAGGACCCAGGAAATTCTAGGCCCATTAGTCTTACCTCAGTTCCTGGGAAGCTCTTTGAGACAATTATCCAGGAGCACATCTGTGAGGGGCAAGCAGGGGGGACGATGCTCAGGGGCAACCAACATGGTTTCATTAGGGGCAGGTCCAGTTTTCTTCTTTCTTTTTTTCTTCATATATATATAAATATGCATTCCCTTCCCCACCCATTTCTGACTTTTTTCTCTCCCTCTCTATTCCCTATAGATAAATATAAGTGAGCTAAGACATAGGATAAGCTTCAACATTTTATTTAGGTAGCA